TGACCTCGTGATCCACCAGCCTCGGCCTCCCAAAGTGCTGGGATTACAGGCTTATGCCACTGCGCCCGGCCTCATGCTTGTTTTTCTAACTTAAAGTGATATTACTCCCAACATTCAAGTGGACTGTTGTGAGAAGTGTTTCTGGGAAAAATTCTAACTGTGACCCCCAAAAGTAACTGAAAGAGAAATGATGCATGCCCCAGTGTCTCCAAAGTAGAAAGGGGAAAGTGCTATCCAGTACACACATAGGCCACAAGCATTTCTTGAAATGGTCTTTACATTGTTTATTGAGAAAAGAAATTTAGAGTGCATTCGAAGCTGCTTCATCCCCAAAACATCAGCTTGTGTCATCATTTTACCCAGGCAGGGATTTGGATTTCAAATGAGAGACAGGCTGAAAGCAGTTAGCACTTGGAATCCTTGCATATGGCAAAGGAAACTTAAAAAGTCAGGGTGTAGGGGTTGCACTGGTAGTAACTGATATCAACTAATTAATGGTTATAGCCTAACGAGAGAAAGAGAGGACTCTTGAAGTAGCTGCTATTGTTTGTCTTTTGTACCCACTTTCAAATTCTCTGCAACCCTCGTATTCTTAAGACTCTTAATTGCCTTAATTTGCCTGGGAATGTTGCATTAATAGATCTGAAAATGAGAAGAAGCCTTTTGTATGGAATTCTAATTGGACCCTACTATGGTTTGTATATTTGTCCCCTCCAAAGTTCATGTTCATATTTGATCCCCAATATTGAAGGTAGGGTCTAGTGGGAGGTGTTTGGGTCATCAATAGATTAATGCCCTGGGGTGGTAGGGTGAGGAGGAAGTTGGTGAGGTCTCTGTTAGTTCCTGAGAAAGCTAGTTGTTAAAAAGAGCCTCCTTTGCTCCTCCCCTCCAAAAACTTTATTATAACCGATTACTACTCAGAATTCTAAGATGACTCACAAGATTTCTATTCACTGGTGTTCACACTCTGTGTAATCCCCTCCTCTTGAGCATGAGTAGAACCAGTGAATATGGGTCACTCCCTTGGTTAGGTTGCCTTTTATGACAAATGTGATTGATGAGATAGTTATTCTGTGATTGCCTTACATAAGGCTCCACCCTAGAAGACTGGAAAGAGATTCTCCTTCTGGCCTTGAAGAACTAAGCTTCCATGTTGCAAGAGGGCCTGTGGAGGAGCCCGGGTAGTAAAGACTCAGGGTAGCCTCTGGGAACCAAGAATTGTTCTGGGTAGACAGCTGGCACAAAAATGAGAACTTCAATCCTAGAGTTGCAAAGAATGCAATTCTGCCAATAACTAGTAAGTTTGGAAGGAATCCTGAGTCTGAGATATGATTGCAGCAGCTGCATTTCAGCCTGGTGAGACCTCGAAGAGGACCCAACTAAACCCAGACTCCTGAACAATGGAAACTGTGAAATAATGAAATTGTGTTGGTTTAAGTAGCCAGATTGGTAATTTTGTTATACAGCGATAGAAAGCCAGTACATTGACTAAATGAACAAATTAACCCTTTATTTTATTGCTAATTCTCTCATCAGGGAATAAAATCTGCCTTCTCACTACACATGAAGACATCCAGAGAGGAAAAAAGTGCTTCTTTCATTAACTGCTTATTCAAGTTAATTTGATTTGTTTTATTGTTCCCCACTTTTTATTTTTAAAATGTTTATACCTGCAGAGTAGATGAAAGTTCATGTGGGTTCACTATTAATATTTTGTCACATTTGGTTTATACTGTACATATAGTTTTACTGATTTTTTTTTTTTTTTTTTCACAGCAGGATCTTACTCCTTCTCCCAGGCTGGAGTGCAGTGGCATGATCTCGGCTCACTGCAACCTCAACCTCCTGGGCCCAAGCAATGATCTCACCTCAACCTCCCAAGTAACTAGGACTACAGGAATGCACCACCACACCTGGCTTGCTTTTTTTTTTTTTGTAGAGACAGAGTTTTGCCATGTTAGCCAGGCTGGTCTCAAACTCCTGACCTCATGTGATTTCCCCTGCCTTGGCTTCCCAAAGTGCTGGGATTACAGGTGTGAGCCACCTGTGTCCGGTCATTTTTCTGAATTATTAAAAGTAGTTTACAGTCCACAGGACCCTTTACTTCTCAATACTTCAACATGTGCCTCCTAAGTCTAGAACATTATTACACATTACCACATGTAAGGTAGGTAGTGGGTACTTCACTTTGGATCATATCCATGTGATCTCAGTGCCTTTATTGATCATGCTAAGTTTGAGCAATTGGCCAAGAGGTTTATATCAGGTATCTCCATGGTAAAAGTACATTTTCCCCTTTGTAATTAATAAAGGATATGTAGTATTCTTTAAAAATATGTGCATGGTTTTTTTTTTATTTTTTATTTTTCTACAGAGACAGGGTTTCTCCATGTTAGTCAGGCTGGGGTATTTCAGTGGGTATTTTTTGCATTTATTTTATTATAACTGAAGTTGAGCATTTTTTAAAACGTTTAATGGCAAATCATATAACTTTTTCTGTGAATTGTTTGTTCATGTCTTTTGCCAACTTTTATTGAGTTTAAAAAAAAATTCCTCTTTATTTTTAATAGCTTATATTAGGAATATTGATTATTTATCCATGATATATTTTGCAACTACAGTTGTCCCTCAATATCCATGGGGATTGGTTCCAGAATACCAAAATCCATGGCTATTTAACCTTACGTAATAAAATGGTGTAGTATTTACATATAGCCTACGCACATCCTCCTACAAACATAAAATCATCTCTAGATTACTTATAATACCTAATACAATGTAAATGTTATATAAACAGTTGTACTATATTGTTTAGGGAATAACGATAAGGGAAAAAATACATGTTCAGTACAGATGCAGTTATCCTTTTTTTCCCAAATATTTTCAGTCCATAAATACAGAGAGCCTATTTTATGTTTTCTAGGTGTTGGCTGCTTGTAGTATGTTTTGCTGTGCACAAGACTTTTTAAAACGTAGCTGCTATGTTAATCTTTAAGTGTATCTGGATTTCAAGTCATTGTTACAGAGGCTTTCCAGCTGTGGCTCACATCTGTAATCCCAGCACTTTGGGAGGCAGAGACGAGTGGATCACCTGAGGTCAGGAGTTCGAGACCAGCCTGACCAACATGGAGAAACCCTGTCTCTACTAAAAATACAAAAAATTAGCCAGGCATGGTAGTTCATGCCTGTAATCTCAGCTACTTGGGAGGATGAGGTAGGATAACTGCTTGAACTTGGGAGGGATAGATTGTGGTGAGCCAAGATTGTGCCATTGCATTCCAGCCTGGGCAACCAGCATGAAAGTCCCGTCTCAAAAAAAAAAAGAAAAAAAGAAAAAAAAGAAAAAAAGGCTTTCCTCACACTTTGAGTATGAAGGACTTTATGTGGTTTTCTGTAACTGTGAAGTTTTATGTTTTAGACATTGCTATTTCTTGAAGAGGAAGAAAAAATTCCTAGAAGCCTTCCCACTGGCTGGGATCGAGTTCCATGTTCATTGTTAATCCAATCTCAATGGACTAGAGAATGCCATGGACTCATCTGTTTATATTGTTGTTCCTGTGCCAGTTCCTATCCAGGTAAATAAAATTATTATTGGACAAGTAAGGATGGTCCTGGTGCTGGGGATGGATCAGCTCTATTTGAAATACATGAGCTCTTTGGGGAAAGCATGAATACCTAAACAAAATCTGTGTTCTTTTAAGAGAAGAGAAGTGGGAGTCCCACTGTCCATTTCATTCCCAGTCTCTTTGTTGTCTTTCAAACTCTTCTTGTCATATACTGAGTTTATTGAGTTCAATTCTACTCCACTTACCATCCCTCAACATGTACAGATGCTTCTTTACCCTCTAGTTCCTAAACTTACAAGTGGCCAGGGCATTGTGGTAAGAGGCAAAGGGGATGGATATGAGACATATATTGGACAAGTCACACAGGTGCTTGGCAAAGTCAGGATATAAAAAGTCTCATTTCTGGGCCATCATTAGCGTTCTGCTGCTGATGGAGTAAAGACCTCCTTTGACAGTCACATTAGAGAGAGCTAGCATGGTCTCTGAGTGTCGGATGTTGGTGATTTT